ACACGTTTGGTGCACAATAAAAGGCAAATCGGAGGGATATATATGGGAGCTATATCTAAATTTTTACCGATTATCTTCAATTTCAATAGGGTTCGTCCTTGGGCCAAACAAATGTTGTTTGGAAAATTTCATCTCAATCGGATAATAAATGCGACCTGCATTTTGTTCACAAGAATACATGGACAGACAGACGGACAGACGAACTGACATGCATAAATTAAATCAGAAAGTGATTCTATGCAGATCATCAAAAGGAACTATGGGTCTATCTCGTTTCATTTTGCCTGTTACAAACAAATGCACAAAGACATAATACCCTGACCACCTTGTGGTGTAGGGTATAAATAAATTGATAGCATATTTATAGATCATACTAGTAGATTATTTAAGATATACCTAGCCATTTTATAGTTGTCTGCAGTTTGTTTGTGTCACGTACCTTTGTTTGACTTCATCTGTATAACAAGAAAAAAAAACCTAGAACATTTTACAGAAGCCTACATCAGGCACGTTATCCTGTCTCGTGCACACACATACGAAGAACACCACCGTGGAGAATAGAATTGTTTCGTCAAACTTTAGGGCCTCCTACACACATATGTATATACATATGTATGATTAGATTCGTCTATGTAACAAACAGATCTATATGTATGAATGTATGTACACACATGATTGTGAATGCATGTTCAAAGATGTGACCAAAGGGAATTAAATAGACTTGGTGAAAATCGTGTGTTAAAGTTTTTCTCCATTATATGCCACGACCAATATTACTTGGCTGGATTGTTTGGCAATTGTTTTCGATTGGTAATAATCATTTTATATATGTATGTATGTTTTTTTCCTAATTATACTACATATTAGGTGGTACATTCCAATGTAATTGAATGTTGGAGAAACTTTCTCAAGTTTCAAAACCAGAACAAATTACAGGGTGAGATAAAAAAAACTGCAATAAAGTCAAACGCCATCATTTTTACATTTTTTTCAATTTTATTGAAGGAAGGCAAAAAATGTCGGAAATAACATCAAATTTTAGAATAGGTATAGATTTGTTTGAGGCAGGAATTATGGCCTCCAAACGGCCAATGAAACCGTCACACACTGCCCGAATGTTGCTTTGTGATATTTTGGCCCATTCCCGGCGAAGCACTGGCTTGAGGTAATTGACACTTTGCTATTTATACCCTACACCACAAGGTGGTCAGGGTATTATGTCTTTGAGCATTTGTTTGTAACAGGCAAAAGGAAACGAGATAGACCCATAGTTCCTTTTGATGATCTGCATAGAATCACTTTCTGATTTGATTTATGCATGTCAGTCCGTTTGTCCGTCCGTCCGTCTGTCCATGTATTCTTGTGAACAAAATGCAGGTCGCATTTATTATCCGATTGAGATGAAATTTTCCAAACAACATTTGTTTGGCCCAAAGACGAACCCTATTGAAATTGGATATAATCGCTAAAAATTTAGATAAAGCTCCCATATATATCTTCGTCCGATTTGCCTTTTATTGTGCACCAAACGTGTAATATCAGCCCGAATTGTATGGAATTTTGCACATACAACCAAATTAGGCCTGAAAATAAGTATGCCATATTTTGATCGAAATCGGTTCAGATATAGCTATAGCTCCCATATATATTGTTCGATCGATTTGTTATTTTTGTCCTACGCAGCGGTAATATGCACTCTGTAACAACAATATTTGGGGAAATATTTAAAATGCAGCTCAGAAATACCTTTGCTAAATTTTATCGAGATCGGTTCAGATTTGGATATAGCTCCCATATATAACTTCGTCCGATTTACATTTTATTTTGCACCAAACGTCTAATATTTGCCCAAATGGGATGGAATTTGCCACATACGACCGAATTGAGTCTAGAAGCTAGTATGCCAAATTTGGTGAAGATCGGTTCAGATATAGCTATAGCTCCCATTTATATTGTTAATCCGATTTGTTGCATTTGTTACCCACAGCAGTAATATGCACTCCGTAACAACGATATTCAGGGAAATATATCAAATACAGCTCAGAAATATCTTTGCTAAATATTATCGAGATCGGTTCAGATTTGGATATAGCTCCCATATATATCTTTATCTGATTTCAAATTAATTTTGCACCAAATGGGCAATACAAGTACGAATTTAAAAGATACAAATGCTTCGGCATATTTAGTCCTTTGAATTTTAAATTATAATTATAATCATAGGGTGTATGATTAAATTCTCCCGTAAAAACTTTTAATTGTTATGTGGAGCTCTACTAAATTAGCAAAGTGGTGTAGGGTATCATAAAATAGGCCCCGCCCGACTTTAGGACTGTCTTTACTGGTTTTTAGTTGCAACCTTGCTTTCCAAAATACTCCAGACACAATAGTCCAACGAATTGGTATCCGGAGATTTTAATGGCCATTGTGCGCTGGAAATGAAGCGAGGAACCTCATTTTGTAACCAATCTTGGGTGGCGCGTGCTGAGTGCGATGCGGCCAAAATATTTTGCGTGCTCAAGGCTTTAATAGACCCTCCAGAATATTTTCGCGATAATATTCGGCATTTATTCAGATGCCACGGTCGATTAATATGAGCAGAGAGCGACCATCGGCAGTTACGGCAGCCCACACCACCACCATGGCCGGCGCTTGAGTTCTGGTGGACAACCAAAGGTGCATATTTTCAGCTGACCTCTTTGGCAAGTAAGCACGATCATTTTGTTTGTTTACAAACTGCTAGACAACGAATGTTTTCTCATCGGAGAACACCAAATTCGGCAGTTCACCACCTTCGGTCAAGCAAAGCAACTCTTAAGCTCTTTTGTGTCTATTTTCTTTCCGTTGCGGTTTAAGTTCTTGGACTTTTTGGAATGTCAATGGCTTTAGCCCGATCTCATTTTTCAATATTTGTCGAATGAAATATTGCGAAATATTCAGCTCACGACTCATTTTTCGGCCACTGCAACGAGAGTTTCGATCAAGTCGCTTCTTTACTTTTCGAAACATTTCTGCTGATGTTGCTGTTTTCTTCCGTCCACTTGCTGATGTCGGGCTACGCTACCAGCATCACGGTAATGAGCGATGGTACGAGACACAAAAGATTTATTCACATTTAAATGCCCGAGTGCTCTAACGATAGCCACTTGTGGTTTTCCAACCAAATATAAAGAAATCACGCTTGAATTCCATCACGAATAATTTTTTTTCTGTAAAATTATCACCAAAATGCTTTTGTACGCCTGTAAACAATATAATGAGCTGTCACTGGAATAATTTTAACAGCTGTCGGACGAGTGGCTTAGAAAAGACAGCAGTCTGAAGTTTGTTGCAGTTCTTTCATCTCAGAATGTACGTATCCATATCCGTGCTTACCGTGATATGCCTGCTTAACACACATCAATTGTTCCCACAATATTTAAGGCCAAATGCTGATTTATGATTTTTTAATGTTTGAAATTGTTTAGTTTATAATTTAATATATTTCTCTAAAATCCAGTTAAAGTCAAATTTAAGAATTTTCAAAGGTTTTTAAACATTTGCCAAAAAAAATGTATATTTTATTGTGTATTGTATTTTTCAAACGAATTTGTTATAATTTGAGTTGAGACGAGTTTTCAAACCAAATTAGTTTTAGTGTTTCGGGTTCAAAATGATCACAAACCCTTTTCTGTTAAATATGTTCAGTGTATGTATCTCACGATAGCGGGCATTTCGAAGATTCAGTTGCGAGTTTAAAGAAAAGTGGTTGTACTTTGGCAATTGATTTCAATATATATTTAAAGGGATTATTAAATTCCTTTTTGTTATTTTGTATTGAAATTTGCTGCCTTAACATTGCAAAGTAATTTTCCAGATACAGATCTGGAATTCTAGAAAATGTTGTAAATTTATTTCAATATTTTTTTTTCGCGATAAAAAACTATGCACTTGTTTTTTATGAAAGTGAATACAGAACAAAACAAAATTCTAAATATGTATTTTAAAATTTTTTTTTTCAAATTTATGTGAAAAAAATATCAAAATTATTAAAATTTGGAATGAAGTTTTTCTTTTCATTTTTAAAATTTTGAATTTAATTCAGAAATCAAAATTATGAAAAACTCATTTGGAATAGTGTTTTTTTTTCTCATTCACATATTTTGTTATTCAGAAATAGGCTCTAAAACTGCTGTAGATGAATGTTCTACAATTTGAATGAAAAAAAAAAATATTCATCTTTAAACGCAATTCTATTTTTATTTTTTTAATTTTAAGGTAATGTAATTAATTACCATATACAGTTTTAAAAAATTTTAGTATACGTTTGTATGAAATATATCATATTATTGTTTATATATGTAAGAAAGTTAATATAAAATATTTTGAAAATGAAGCTTAATTATAGTTATTATTAGTGTTGTTTGTTTGTTAAAAAATATGTATAATTTTTAAAAAATATGTATAATTTTAAGAAAAAGAAAAAAAAAATAATACATAATCGATCCTTTTACAAATTGTCCTATCTCATCTATTTTATAAAAAAAAATAAATTTATTTTATAAATATAATAGTTAACTTTTCTTAAAATAATAAAATTTTAAGAAGAGAAATTTATATGATTGTAAGAAAAGAATGTGACATACAAGGCAAAGTGTTGTAAAAATATGCGTAACTAAAAACAAATTAAAAAAAATGTAAAATATTTAAAATATCGGTTAAATTATGCTTTGGCTACTTTTGTTAAAATATAAATAAATAACATTCCGTTTCACAATTTCGAAAGAAAGATGTTTGTCACTTCCTAATCCCTTGAGGTGCACGTGTTCCTGGTGTAAGAAATAAAGGACAATAACGTCTTAATTCAAATGCGATTCGAGCTTAAGATTTGTATTTAAATGTTTCTTTCGACATTGTGAAACAGCTTATATCAGTTTTCTTTATCTATCTATCTTTTCCGACAAATACTAATAACGTCTTTTCTTATTTTTTTTCTTCTTTCTCGTTACCCCAAACTCTAGAAACCACAATTGCAAAATACGGACATACTAAACAATGACGAATCATCAATGGACCAATGCTTGTCGCCAGCTCTGGCCAAGCCTCTGAAATGTCTTACAAATTCGGCAACTTCTTCGCCGACACCCAATGAAACGGGTTTGCTGAATTATCTAAACAATCCCTTGATTTGTGGACCAGGTGTTTTGCCATCACCCACCTTGGCCTCGATGGCTGTTATCAACGATGATTCCAATCCACCCGGTCTTACTGCTTGTCCCGATATTGTGGAGGGGGCCAATGATAGTGGCATTGACGATAGTATCCATGAAAATATGTCACCACTTAAGAGGGCCTATGAAGGAAACGATTCCACAAATCAAGATAAACAACAAATGAAATTGAATAAAAATGGACTCGTTATGGTGGCTGAAGTTACGCCAATGGCAGCGGTAAACCAGAGCAGTGGTGGCAATGATGATGATATGGGTGCCTCCATTTGCAAACGCAAACGTTCGATTTCATTTTTGGACAGCAATAATCCCTTGATGGCCACACCATTTCTAATGGATTTGTGCAATGATGATTATGTCATGAGTCTGGGAGAAAATTATATTGACAATGTTCTCAATGTCTGGCCCGAAGAACTGGCCTGATGTATGGCATAATTAAATAAATAAATAAATAAATAATAAACATAAACAAAACAGAACACACAAAATAAATAACTTTGACAATGAAATGAAAACAAAACAAAAACTCATAATAAATAATCTACAAAACTTTTGCTTAAATAAAACAAAACAAAAAAATATTTGTTGATTTTCATAAAAAAATAAAGTGTTGCAACATCTCTTTTAGTATTCTTGTAACACACAATTGTAAAATAGTTTTTAAGCCACAAAACAAACACCAGCAAATTCCCACAAAATAGAAAAAGAAAATCACACCAAACACACCCCCCCCACCCTTTTTGAACTGCCCCCGTTTTTAGGATCCCGATTTTGTCCTGGAAAATAACCACACAAAAACTAAAAATCAAAACATAAAAATTATATTCTATAGATTTTAGAACCAACAAACATAATATATTTTTATATAGAATGAACAGGAAAAAATTAAAAAAAAAACAAAAAAAAATTAAAAAAATATTAATCATAGATATATTTTTCTTTAAAAAATATATAAATAAAACAATTGGTGAAGGTTTAAATACAGTTTTTTTTTTCTTGATTTCTTTTAAAAATAAATGTTGTAATCAAAATTTTATTCAAATTCATCTTTTTCAAAAAAACAATAATTTTCAACTAGCTATGATTAATCAAAAAATCCAAAAAAAAAAAATATTTTTATTCTATGGTAGTTAAAAAAACAAACAAACAACAAAAATAGTTTAAAGAATTTAAGAGCATTTATTCATATAAACCTATAAAGATACATAAAAAAGAACAGATTTTTGTTGATTTCAATTAAAATTTCGTTTATTCAAATTTATAAATTTATAAAAAAAAAACTTATATACAAAACCCAATTTTGTATTTTGCTCTATTGATTATCATTGTACGTGTGTGTTTCTGTTCTAATTACTTTGATATGTTTTTCTCCAAAAATTTTATATCGATATGTTCAGTGTCATTTATTATATGTATTCTTTTTTTTTCTTCAAAATTTTTTGAAACCATAAACACATTTCTTTATATACAAAAATTATAACATAATAAATAAATTGATTATATATAATTTGAAATATTTGCAGAACAAAAAAAAAACGGTGTTTTTTATTTTGATAAGGATTTAACATGGGCGGTAAGTAGAAACCTTAAAATAGACATGTTATTAGAACTTCGCCCAAAAATGTTATTAAAACTTCGAAAATTACAAAAAAAAAACAATTTGGAAAAATCATTGTATTGACATAAACTTTTTCTTTCGGACAACATTAACAGCGCACCTCCGCCGAAAAATCGTTTGGCAACTATAGAAATACTAACTTCCGTCAGCTATATCAGTTCAATTAATCGACGTTGGGTATTATTGCTTGTGGTAAAAATCGTAAACTCGAATAATAATGTTACAATGTTTTTAAGAACCACAGGACAATTTTTCAGAGAAAATACACATTAAATTGAATTGATGGCACAGTACGTAAAATTTAACTATCAAGTGTCCGCTCTTCATCAGCGAAAAGACCAACTTAAAATTTTAAATTCGATGGTGCAAGGCCTTTACAGGTTGAGATAAAAAAACTGCAAAAAAGTCAAACGCCATAATTCTTACGCTTTTTTTAATTTTATTGAATGAAAGCAAAAAATGTTATCAATTGCATCAAATTTAAGAATAAATTTAGATCAGTTCAAATTGATTACCTTTGGCACAAATTTTGGCCTTCAAACGGCCAATGAAACCGTCACACCCTGCCCGAATATTGCTCTGCCGGTATTTTGGCCCATTCCCGGCGAATCGCTTGAATGAGGCGATTGACACTTTTGTATTTTTCAATGCCAACTTTGCTTTTCAAAATACTCCAGACACAATAGTCCAACGGATTGGTATCCGGAGATTTAAGTGGCCATTGTGCGATGGAAATGCAGCGAGGAACCTCATTTTGTAACCATGGCATGTGTTGAGTGCGATGGTCCTGAGTCCAAGGTCTGCGGCCAAATTGTTTGCATGCACAAGACTTTAATACACCCTCTAGAATATTTTCGCGATAATATTCGGCATTTATTCTGATGCCTCGGTCGATTAATACTAGCGGAGAGCTACCATCGGCTGTTATGGCGGCCCACACCGTCACAATGGTCGGCGCTTGAGTTCTGGTGGCCAGCCGAAGGTGTACATCTTCAGCTGACCTCTTTGGCAAGTAAACACGATCATTTTGTTCTCATCGGAGAAAACCAAATTCGGCAGTTCACCAATTTCGGCCAAGCGAAGCAACTCTTTAGCTCTTTTGAGTAATTTTCTTCTGTTGCGGTGTAAGTTCTTGCACTTTTTGGAATTTAAATGGCTTTACCCCGAGCTCATTTTTCAATATTTGCCAAATGGAATATTGCGATATGTTCAGCTCACGAGCCATTTTGCGACGCGGGTTTCGATCAAATCGCTTCTTTACTTTTCTAACAAATTCTGCTGATGTTGCTGTTTTCTTCCGTCCATTTCCTTGACGTCGGGCTACGCTTTTGCTTTTCCAGCCAAATATAAAGAAAACACTCTTGAATTCCATCACGAATAACTTTTTTCTGGAAAATTCTCACCAAATTCCTTTGGTACGCTTGTATACAATATAACGAGCTGACACTGGAATAATTTTAACCAAATTTAAATCAGAAATATCAGGATTTCTGCCAATACCAAAATGAGTACCATTTAGAAATGTTGACATCAATAACCGAAATATTTAGTACTTTTCTTGAAATAACATTACATATTTCCAAAACCACCTCCATATTTCAATCGGAGATACCAACAAAGTCCTCAGTATCAAATTTTGATCTATTCCAGCTCTATCCCTTCACCCAATACCCATTTTAGTAACATTCTAAAACTACTACCATTCTTAACCACGGACACCAAAAGTGATCTCAATGTCAGAATTTCTGCTCTATTCCTTCACCCAATACCAAATTAAGTACCATTTAGTACTTTTCATACAATTATAGTAAACATTTCCAATATCACCTTCAAATCTAGCTACCATCAGAGATCTCAATATAAAATGTAAGGTTTCCAGTCCTATCCCTTCACCCAACACGAAATTTAGTACCATTTACTGCTCTCCCTACATATATAGGACGCATTTCTAAATCTAAATCTAAATATCAAATTTCACACACTTTCTAAAAAACCACCTCCATATCTCAATATCTCCAGATGGCAAGAGATACCAATTATCAAATTTCGCGAGTCCGGCTCTATTTCTTAACCCAATACCAAATTTAGTATCATTTATTACTATTCGTACAATTATAGTACGCATTTCCGAAACCATCTCCATATGTTCAGGCTACACATAAACAGCGAACCAAATTGTTTAAAAAAAATATAGTATTAGTTAGTACTTTTCATACATTTGTAGTACACACCACCACATAACACCTCGTTGTCACAAACCTACTACCAACAGGGACCCACCACAATGTTTCAATATTTCAATATTTCAGATATATCCATTCAACTTTAAACTGAACTGTTCAAAATTTAGTACCACTTAGTACAATTCGCATACTTAGTACACATTTCCAAAGTCACCTTCGTATATCAATCTTACTTTCCGACCTCGATTCTCATAACAAATTTCAAGTATTTAGCTCTATCCATTCACATAATACCAAACTTTTCGTAATCTTAAAATTCGAATTTCCAAAAACCCTTTTAATACATCTATTCTGCACTCCATCAGTGACTCTCATTCTAAATTTGAGAATTCAAGCTCATTCCGTTTGTCCAATGCAACTTATTAAATTTTATAACTTTTCGTACCTTTTAGTACGAATTCCCAAAAATCCAGACTACGCAACGACACTCACCTTAGTGCAAAATTTTAAGATTCTAGCTTAATTTTGAGAAGAGAACCAAAAAACCAATTTCGTTTTACAAATGTATTGCAATTTATTTATATTTCCTAATCTACTGGAGAATTGCCCGTCGCCAAAAACAAACCCGAAATTACTTCACAGTTAAACCGTTGCAAATGTAACAAGAGTATCCTGCTCAGCGACCTCTTTTGCAGTAGTATTGAAATTGAATTTTTTAATTCTAACAATGATGACCAAAATATGTCGTTGGGAGTGTGGAATCATGCCTACGCTAAATGTTAGAGCATTACCATTCAAAAGCAATTTGAGGCAAATATGCAAACATCTTCGCTAATATGAGTTTTTCTCGCATACAAACAACGAAATCCACTCTTAGGTTTATTTAATACTCATTTATTATTTTATAAACAAATAGTTTTACTGCTTCTTTTATAATCTTGTGAAATATCTTCTGCGGCACATCATAGTGCCTAAAAGTATGTTATTGTTTATAAGCATTCGATGATTTACTTTATGGAAGACACCTGCTGTTGGTTCAAGGCAATACTATTGATAGGAAACGAACAGAAAATATTACAGAGTCTTTTTTATAGATGTCGCCAAGTGCGATTTGTGTTGGCAACGCATGATACATAATCTTCTTTCTATATCTATAAAAGAGGAAAATGTTTGTATGTTTGTTTGTTTGTAATTTATGGACTCGGAAACCGCTGCACAGATTTTCCTGAAAATTTGCATTTATACTGCATCATCGCCTGAAAGTAACATAGGCTATATACATTTTTGAAATTCCACTTGGAAGTGGAGATTTAGCATCAGAATCGGAGGTACCTCCCAAAAATTTAGATTTTGTATGCACATATCTATTGATCGATTACAGATACAGTCTCCAAATTTTGAATGTGTAACGGAATTTGGAACAAGAATAAATTTGCCAAATTATATTGAAATCGGTTCAGATTTAGATATAACTTCCATATATATTTTCGACCGATTTCATGCATTTGATGCACCAAACACGCTATGTATCCCAAATTTCAATGACATTTGAAACATGTGATGGATTTTATCTAAAAAATTGATTTCCCAAATTATATTGAAATCGGTTCAGATTTGGATATAACATCCATATATATATATTTTCGACCGATTTCGTTCATTTGATGCCTCAAACACGATATGAATGTTCGATTCCAATGAAATTTGGAATGTTTAACGGGATTTGATCCAAAAATAAATTTATCAAATTATATTGAAATCGGTTCAGATTTGGATATAGCTCCCATATATATCTTCAACCGATTTCGTTTATTTTAAGCACCATACACGATATGTATGTTCGATTCAAAGAAATTTGGAATATGTGACGGAATTTTGATTAGAAAATAGATTAGTCAAATTATATTAAAATCGGTTCGGATTTGGATATAGCTCCCATATATATTTTCCCCCGATTTCACATATTTGATGCACAAAACATGATACGTATTTCCGATTCCAATGAAATTCGCCATGAGTGACTAAATTTGGTACCAAAATAAATTTTACGAATTATATTCAAATTCGCTCAGATTTGATTATAGCTCCCATATATATTCTCGGCCGATTTCACATATTTGATGCACCCAAAGCGAGAGAGACGAAATCTGGCACCAGAAAAAATTTCCAAATTATATTGAAATCGGTTGAGGTTTGGGTATAGCTAACATATATATTTCGTCTAACTTCATAAATGTTATGTACCAAACACGATTTATATGACCGATTCCAATGAAATTCTGAATGTGTGGCGGAATTTGGTTACAATAATAAATGTGATAAATTAATTGGAAATTTGTTAAGATTTGGATATAGCTCCCATATATATTCTCGGTCGATTTCACATATTTGACGCACCAATTTCAATGAAATATGAAAGTTGTGGCGGAATTTGGTGTAAATTAATTTTTTTAAAATTATATTTAAATCGGATCAGATTGGGATATGATTTTAATAAGAACCATTGACCCACAACGCCTTAGGCTAACACTAAATAACAACACAACAGTTAATTTGAAATACGCTTATTACGGGGAAGTATATTGCTACCTCGAATTCACTAATTGCAATAGAAATGCCACTCAACTTCAAAAAATTGCAGTTTCCTGCACGCTTTGTATTTGCTATGAAATAAATAAATCCGAAGGACAAACCCTTCGTGTATGCATGTCATGTTACTGCTTTTCTAATGGTTTTCCAACAACATATATTCGTAAATAAAATTTTGAATGCATATAAAATCAAAAGGGGTAGCGAAGCGCACCGGGTTAAGCTAGTTTTATTATATATTTTCTTCCGAATCTGTATACCTTGATAAAATTAAAAAGCAAGCCTTATGTAACCATATCTTTAGAATTTTTAAGTTTGTCATTCCGTTTGTAACACCTCGAAATATACACTTTAGACCCCACAAAGTATATATATTCTCAGCATAAAATTCTATGTCGATTTAGCGATGTCCATCCGTCTGCGGAAATCACTCGAACGAAATGAAGTAGACTGATAAAATTTTACTCAAATGTATATTATGTCTACAGGACTTTTTGTATTGAAAATGGGCCATGTAGGTCCAAGTTTATATGTATAGCCTCCATATAATTGTACCTCCCGATATTCGGTATTTTGATTGTTTTAGCGACATTATTCACCGGAATTGTTTAAAATTTGGTTTTTGAAGTTCGAAATGGATACTACAGCCTAAGGCAGAAAATTGTCTGTGCTGGTCCACGCCCACATATAACAGTACCTCCCGATATTCGGTATTTTGATGATTTATCTACATTATTCACCGATCTTTTTTTAAGTTTCGCATTTGAATATTGTAATGGCCTATGACAAAAGTTACCTATGCAGGTCCATGTCGTCGTATAGACCCTAATATAACAGCTACATTCGGTATTTTCTAAGATTTTAACAGAATTTTTGAGAATTGCTAAATTTGTTCCAAAAGGTGGAGGGTATTCAAAGTTCGGCCCGACCGAACTTACAGCTTTTTTACTTGTTTCACAATTATATCGAGATAAAAAATATTATGAAATTTGTACAGGGTTGCCCATATTCGACGGACCTTTGGGCCCATTCCAATCGACGAGGCTTGACCGCAGACAACATTCTTTGCGTCAATTGAATTTTGTACGGGAACAAATGCAAATCAATGCAAATAATCCGTTGTAAAGTGGACCGAGCCATGCCCAACTGTTGAGAACGGCGTTTTTGGGATGTTCTTGGGGACCTCTCAACACTGGCTCGTACGGCAGCGATATTCTCGGCCAATCGCCTTGGTCGACTTTTATATGGCCTCTTCGGATTAGAAAGAGCCTTACCAGTCGAAAATTTTTCGTATAAACGCTTAATGGTGTTCTTAGAAGACGCACTTCTCACTTTTTTTCACAATAGACTTCTTCTGTTGAATGTAAATTTCAACTATTTCAGAGCGCTCGCGTGGCGTGTATTTGTTCATGGTAAAAATCTGCTTGGACTGACGCTTCAAACGCAGTATGTCATTAAGCGATGTGACATCTCTGTCAAAAGTTATGGCGTTGCCAGATGGGTCCGTCGAATATGGACAACCCTGTATGTAAATTTTATATAAATCCCAAACGGTTTGTCCTGGCAACGCAAGACATATAGTTTTGAATTTATTTTTAATTCTGAACATGTTTTTTTTTATTTAAAATATATAAACGAAGAATATGTAACATTTTAAACTAAAAAATGAAATAAATAACTAATATTAATTAATGAGTACATAAAAGTCCAAATTATAAATAGAAAAAAATAAAAGCATAGCATTTTATGTAAATTTAATATAATTTCCAAAAAGGCTACCCAAACTTTCTCCAGCCATTGCAGACCATGTACATTTTGAATATTTCACATCGCATGACAACTTGTCATCTTGATAATCGTGGAAAATGTCATTCAACGGAGTGTATGGAAGTACATTTTGACGCACCCATTCCATACCGGTTAAGCCTTCAAAAATTTTATCAATTCCTGACAACGAGTCATCGTTACGATATTCATGGCGATTCGAATTGGTGGAATGTTGTAGACGTTGACATAGGACCTTCTGAATGCATTCACTCAAATTGATACCTTTCTCTGAGAACGTTTCATCCAGACTTGTTAGTAGACCTGTTAGGGTGGTATCTGTAATTTGAAAAGATATCGAAAGGGGTTTGATTGTTTATAAGTGAAGTCCTCTATAAATAATACAAACGAATGCAAAAAAGGACTGTTAAAAAAAATAATAGGTTCGGATCGATACATACAGGGTGAGATGAAAAAACTGCCACCAACTTCAGATTGCTGTCATTTCAAAGCCACTCGTCCGACAGCTGTTAAAATTATTCCAGTGAAAGCTCATTATATTGTTTACAAGCGTACATTTTGGTGAGAATTTTCAAGAAAAAAATTTATTCGTGGTGGAATTCAAGCCTGATAGTGTGATTTCTTTATATTTGGCTGGAAAACCACAAGTGGCTATCGTTAGAGCACTCCAGCATTTAAATATGAGTAAATCTGTTGTGTGTCGTACCATCGCTCGTTACCGTGATACTGGTAGCGTAGCCCGACGTCAAGGAAGTGGATGGAAGAAAACAACAACATCAGCAGAAATGGTTCGAAAAGTAAAGAAGCGACTTGATCGAAACCCGCGTCGCAGTAGCCGAAAAATGGCTCGTAAGCCGAACATACCGCAATATTCTATTGGACAAATATTGAAAAAATAAGCTCGGGGTTAAGCCATTAAAATTCCAAAAAGTGCCAGAACTTACACCGCAACAGGAAGAAAATAGACTCAACAGATCTAAAGAGTTGCTTTGCTTGGCTGAAAGTAGTCAACTGCCGAGTTTGGTTTTCTTCGATGCGAAAACATTCATTGTCCGGCAGTTTGTAAACAAACAAAATGATCGTGTTTACATGCCAAAGAGGTAAACTGAAAATGGCCATGGTTATGATGTGGGCCGCCATAACAGCCGATGGTCGCTCTTCGCTCGTATTAATCGACCGTGGCCTCATAATAAATGCCGAATATTATCGCGAAAATATTCATGAGAGTGTATTAAAGCATTGGGCACACAAACATTTTGGCCGCAGACCTTGGATATTCCAACATGACTCAGCACCATCGCACTCAGCACGCGCCACCCAAGAATGGTTACAAAATGAGGTTCCTCGCTTCATTTCCAGCGCACAATGGCCACCAAAATCTCCGGATACCAATCCGTTGAACTATTGTGTTTGGATTATTTTGGAAAGCAAAGTTGGCACTATAAAATACCAAAGTGTCGATCACCTCAAGCAAGCCCTTCGCCCGGAATGGGGCCATTTATGGGAAAATCATTGTAGGAAGTAGCATGGCAACTATCCGCCGAAAATAACAGGATAACCACGAATATTCTAAGATAATAAACCAGTAAAGAAAGTTCTAAAGTCGGGCGGGGCCGATTTTATGATATCCTACACCATTTTGCTCCACATAACAATTAAAAGTTTTTATGGCTGAATTCAATCATACACCCTATGATTATAATTTAAATAAAAAAATAAATCAAAGGACAAAATATGCCGAAGCATTTCTATCTTTTAAATTCGGACTTATATTGCTCATTTGGTGCAAAATTAATTTGATATCAGATAAAGATATATCCAAATCTGAACCGATCTCGATAAAATTTGGCAAATATATTTCTGAGCTGTATTTGATATATTTCCTTGAATATCGTTGTTACGGAGTGCATATTACGGTTGTGGGTAACAACAAATCGGATGAACAATATATATGGGAGCTATAGCTATATCTGAACCGATCTTCACCAAAATTGGCATACTACCTTCTAGACTCAATTCGGTCGTGTGTGCCAAATTCCATCCCATTTGGACAAATATTAGACGTTTGGTGGACAATAAAAGGTAAATCGGACGAAGTTATATATGGGAGCTATATCCAAATCTGAACCGATCTCGATAAAATGTAGCAAAGGTATTTCTGAGCTGTATTTGAAATATTTTCCCAAATATTGTTGTTACAGAGTGCATATTACGGCTGCGGTGGACAAAAATAACAAATCGGATGAATAATATATATGGGCGGTATATCCAAATCTGAACCGATTTCGACCAAATTTGGCATATTTATTTTCAGGTCTAATTTGGTTGTATGTGCAAAATTCCATACTATTCGGGCTGATATTACACGTTTGGTGCACAATAAAAGGCAAATCGGACGAAGATATATATGGGAGCTATCTAATCTAATTTTTGACCGATTATCTCCAATTTCAATAGGGTTCGTCCTTGGGCCAAACAAATGTTGTTTGGAAAATTTCATCTCAATCGGATAATAAATGCGACCTGCATTTTGTTCACAAGAATACATGGACAGACGGACGACATGCATAGATCAACTCAGGAAGTGATTCTATGCAGATCATCAAAAGGAACTATGGGTCTATCTCGTTTCCTTTTGCCTGTTACAAACAAATGCACAAAGACATAATACCCTAACCACCTTGTGGTGTAGGGTTTAAAAAACACAATTTTTTTCTGCGAACATTTTGAACCGCAGAGTAACATTCGGACAACGTGTTACATGGTTTCATTGGCCTTTTGAAGGCCGTAATTCGTGATATGATATTTCCGACATTTTTTGCTTTCTTTCATTCAATAAAATTTTAAAAAAAATGTTAAAAATTTTTTTCTGCGAACATTTTGAACCGCAGAGTAACATTCGGACAACGTGTTACATGGTTTCATTGGCCTTTTGAAGGCCGTAATTCGTGATATGATATTTCCGACATTTTTTGCTTTCTTTCATTCAATAAAATTTTAAAAAAAATGTTAAAAATTTGGCGTTTGACTTTGTTGCAGTTTTTTTTTTATTTCACCCTGTAGATATAATATCATTCTCCAACTTACCAACTTTTTCACCCGTCGAATTTTTATAAACAACTTTAACATTTTGAAGCACCGACCATAATTCACTTTCAAAATCGTAATTTGATCTTTCCGATTTATCAGATTTCATTGTAGCTTCAAAGAGGACATATCTTCTGAAGATGTACGAAACAAGAACACTTGATCCAGCCAGAAGTCCAGTTGTAACCAATGCTGCTGTATTAATGTTGATTAGTGCCTAGAAATAATTCAAAACCATCTAAAAGTTCGAACAAATCAAACTTTATTTCATATTTACCGGTTCAATGCCATAAACATCAACTGTCCTGACAATTGGTATTTTTATGAAGGGCAAAAGAAAATCCAATCCCACAGCTAAATGTTGACCCAAAGGTTCAAAGGAGACCACATTTAATTTCGGCATACGTTCCAGCCTGGAGATAATACTGCTACCATTGATGGGAAAATCGTTGTAGGAAGTAGCATCGCAACTATCCGTCGAAAATAACAGAATAACCACGAATATTCCAAGATAATGAAAAGCCACAAATTTTTCTGCGAACATTTTGAACTTTACTCCTCCTGGTGAATTTTAAAAATGAATGGAAACTCAAAATTTAAACATAGACTACACTTTGGCTGGGCTGCAGTTTTGTCAAGCTCTGTTGGATGAAATAATGATTTGTATCCGAGTGTGCGTATGCAAAAGAGGCCCAAAACTACAATAGCACTTCATTTTTAAAAGTGTCGCCGAACCCATTTCCCTGCATATATGTATGTAGATTTATTTAAAGTAGCAAACCATAGACTCTAATTTTTAAGAAAATTATGCAAATTGTGTTAACATTGCGTTGCCACTTTAAATGGTGGAAAATTATGCTCGAATTAATTCGTTATTGTTGCAATTGTTTCCGTAGGCCATTCTACATGTGCTGAACATATGTTATCTTATTTACACAACGCCTCAATGTAATGTTGTAAAATTTACATTACATAAGTGTGGAATCGTACAAAAATTCAGAAATCTTAAAAATGATTTTCAATTCATTCATAGACGAATTGAATTAAATTAAATGGCTTGAGTTCGGGAACCAAGTTTGACAACGAATATTCTTCATTATTATTTGGTATTGGAAAATTTTGATGAAAATTTTCCTAAAATTAGATGATATGAGGAATACTATTCTTACAACTTCTTGTTCATCTTTTAAACAATTCTATGCGACTCAATTATTTTCCTTCCGCATTTAAAGAGACAAAGGTCATTGCAGTGAGAAAACCTAATAAACCTCCTAGTGATCCAACGAGTTATAGACCCATTAGTCTACTAAGTAATTTGGGTAAAATTTACGAAAAAATAATTCATTCAAGAGTTTTGAATCATGCAACTGAATTGAATATAATTTCTGATAACCAATTCGGGTTCAAGAAAAGCCATAGCACTACCCATCAAATCGTCCGTTTAAAAAACAAAATACTTAAAAACAAAAATTAAAGAAAATCAACCGGATTAATTCTTCTTGATATAGAAAAAGCATTTGACACAGTGTGGCACAATGGTCTCCTACATAAATTGGTGAAGGCTAATTTACCCATCTACCTCTGTAAAATTATTGCACATTTCATAAAAAATAGATCATATGCTGTTGCAGTTAACCAAAATAGGTCTTCATTTAAAAATATTCCAGCTGGACTTCCACAAGGTTCCATATTATCTCCTACGCTATATTCCATTTATACATCGGATTTCAAACCGCCTCGTGAAATTGATACTGCATACTACGCAGACGATACAGCACTCATATCTTCTAGTAAATTAACATCGGCTCTCCTTAAAAAATGGAGTTAAGCTTAATGGCGTGCAACAAATATTTCAACAAATGGAAAATCAAATTGAACTATAATAAAACTCAAGCAATAATATTCCGATCCAACAAGTCTCCAAAAAGAATTCCTAGAAGACAATTACGGTTTTATAGAAATGATATTAGCATTGCCGATGAAATAAATTATCTCGGAGTAACACTGGACAAAAAAACTGACATTTAAATATCATGTCCAATCATCGTGCCAGAAAAGCCTCTACAGCCTTATGGCCCTTCCTGAATAGAAGATCCAAATTATGCTTGGAAAACAAAAATTTATTATATAAAGGTGTAATACGGCCAATTCTGTCTTACGCGTCCCCTATTTGGTATAGAGCTGCGAAATCGCATATAAAAAAGTTCCAGATAATTCAAAATAAATGCCTGAAGATAATTTACGACAAAAACTGGCATTTTCCTACCTCTACGTTACATGAAGAAACAGGATATGAACTATTCGCCGATTTCATAAAACGCCTCAATGATAAATTTTTTATAAAAGTTTCGACATCTCGTTATTCTAAGATAAGAGAATGTATAGAAGAATTTTAATATATTTTGTATGACAAATTAAAATTATCAATTTGAAATTTATTGTATTAAAATTTGTTATTTTTATATAATCAATTTTAATCAATATATTTTCTAATTATATTTGAAATCTATTTTGTAGTTCAAATATAGGTTTTGTATCCTTTTTCCTATAAATCAATTAAAATCTAGTGCTCTTATTTATAAATTATTACATGAAATTTAATCCCTGTAAATCACTATGATATATCTCAAAAATTGTATTATATGTTCCTTAGAAAATAGTTATTGGATAAATAAAATTGAATTGAGGAATACTATTCTAAATAATGGCTAAAAATATCATTTCTGCAAATTGCTTCTAATTTAATTTTAAAATGTGTTAGAATGCACAAAAAAATTTCATACTTTGGTGGGTGACGTAATAATAAAATGTATTCCTTTCTATCCAAATTAGACTTTGGAAAATATTGGATGTGGGATGTTGAAAATCGGACATTGATTTCACACTCTCCGAGAGTTATTATTCAAAACGTACTCTTTTGAGAAAGGTATACAAACGAGTGGTCCGATATTGCCCATTTCGACCTGACCTTATTCTGATATAAAAGTTATATATATATCGGATTGGAACTATATCGGAAGCTCACACTTTCTACACGGATGGAAGTGCATTTGGTCGACTCCGCAATTTGCGTTTGGAATGTTTTACGAATGTTTAAAATGTTGGAAGTCTTTATACCCTGTGTTGGGGGTATTATAAGTTTGAATTATGTAACACCACGAAATATTGGTTTCCCACATAGGAAAGTATATATGGATCTTCCTATCTCGCCGAGCTGAGTCGATCTAGCTATGTATCTCCGTCCGTCCGTCTGTCCATGTTAAATTGTAATCACTCTACAAGTCGCAATTATGGCCCGATCTTCACGAAATTTATAATGGAAGTGTGGCTAGGGTCAGAATAGAACCCTATTTCTTTAGGAGATGATCGCATAATATGAACCAAAAACTGAAAAAATTCCTGATTTTGCAGTTGCTTTACAGGTCGCAATTATAGACCAATCAAAGCGGAAGTTAGCATTGGGCTAGAGCTTAGTGCTGGGCAGAAGCCTGCCAATTTTGATCGTCATCGGGTATTATTTAGTGGATGAAATAGGCCACAATATTTGTGTTAACTAAAAGTCATATTTTCCATTAAACCGCGAATATTTTTAATCCCGGCGAAATCACAAATAGACGAACAGGTCGATTCTGACCGTTTCGTAGATGCCAATAGTAAATATATGGCGAAATATATACAATGTGTATATACAAAGGAAGGGGATGTTAGTTAGAAAGCTTATATCTCAAGAATGGCTGGACCGATTTTGACAAATTTTGTCAATTCAGAATGCCCTCTTGACATAAAAGTATGAAATCTAAAAAAATGGCAGAAAAATATACCAATAATAATGTTAATATAGATTTTGTAGTATTTTGTGACATTTTTTATTTTTTCATATTTTTTTTTATCGCATGCGATTTTTTCAATTTGACTTATAATATTTTGTAATATTTTTTCACCTTACAACACAGGTTGGGGATATTATATATGTATTGTTAATATCGTCCGATCCTCACGAAAATTATCACAAGGGTTGGGCTCTGAAGATGTCCGCAATATATTAGGGCTTGAAATGGACCAACAACTAAAAATTTTCCTGATTTTGCAGCCGTTATAAAGGTGACACATAGAAACCAAAGGGTACGAAATCTCGCATAAAGTTAGAGTTTCGGACAGCGGGTTGAATGGACTACTAATTTTGTGTGAAAAAATACCAGTATTACTTACAGGCGATATACGAAATACACAAAAGGCGAACTTCTGGCTTTTTTATGCTGATTTCGTTGATGAATAAAACCAAATATCGTAGACAAGCAAATCACATAGAAGAGTCTACATTTGGAGAAACAGAGGGGCTTCTTGCTTTTGGAGATGATTACAAAATTTTTAGGGGTTCAAATTAACCAAAAACAGAATTGTTTTTCCGATCGCACAATTGAAGCCAATCGACACGCCTGTGAAGAGTTTTAAGGACAGGGAAGAATTCTAGTATTTTGGATTATATTTAGCTGGAAAATGGATCACAACAACTAACAGCCCGACGGAGTGTCTAAATATTGGACAAATGTCCCTAGTCAAAATCCTAATTTCAAAAGCGAAATCTTCCAATATGGATTTGGACATAAGGGGACTTCTAACATATTGTAGCGTTGTAGGGTATAAAATAGTCGGCCCCGCACGACTATAGCCTTTGCTTACTTGTTTTTTTTTTTTTTTTGTTTTTCAGTTCGAAACTTATTGTCAAAATGACTTTAGTTTCTAAAACAGCAATTTTGCTCTTGTAAAATGTTAGTTGTTGTAGCTGATACATACACCTTGGAGGTAATTAAAAGCATTTATTCCATTCAAAAAATATTGGGCCCAAAAAATCAATTTTTTCCATAAAGTCCAATTTTAATAACAAAATAATTTTTTTTTTTGAAGAAATTAATTTTTTATGTAAAAGTAACGATGCCCGAGAAAGTCCTTAAAAATATTTCTAAAAATTGTATGGCTAAAATCCGCAAAATACCGAATATCAAGTGGTACTATTATATAGGGAATATACGAAGGGGTAGACCTAGATTTTCTATTAATGGAAGTTGGTCCCCGTCGAAAATATGAAATAAATCATTACAATACAGAATATTGTTAGGTACAATTATACGGAAGCGTGAGCCATTGAAGTAAATTTCTATAGAGAAGATAGTACCCGTGCACCAAATATCTACTTTTAAATAATTCCTGTGAACAAAATCATCAAAATATCATGGTTTTCCTTTATATGGGCAATTAATGGTGACGTAAACCTGTACAGGCTAGTATCACAGTACAGACAGTACCCATTAGGAATTAAGCAAATTTTAAACCATTCTGGTGAAAATAGAATTGTGTTAAAACCGTCGAAATAGCGAACATCTGGATGTACAGAAATGATGGATTAAAACACCCAAAACACATTCCTTATGGAGGTAAAGTCCTTTCAAAAGTTTTATATAAAAATTCAAGATTTAAAAAAAAGCATCCAAAAACTTCCAATTTCTATATATTTAGAAGATTTATAAATGGGAATATTGTCCATTTTCGGGGGGAATTATGATCGAGTCTAAACCTATCTTATTTCGCTAGTAATATTGGGATAAATAAAGTCTGGGAAAGTTTGGAAATAAATTGACAACTCATTTTTCAAAAGTTATAAAAACTTTTAGAGGAAGTACCACAAAAAGTAGACCGATAATGGACCTATTTCGCACCTATTGCTACAATGAGACTGTGCAACACAAAAAATAATTACAGGGAAACCTTGGGGGAAAATAAAAGACACAAGTATTGTCGTTTTGAAAGTAAACATCACTCAGTAACCTAAATATTTTTTTTATATTTCATCAAATTTGACTTTAAGTCACCCATGAAAGCAAATCTCTATCCTCATTAATTAGTATGATAAGAAAAACTGCAACAAAGTCAAACGCCATATTTTTTACATTTTTTTTTTTTTTTTTTTTGAATTTTATTGAATGAAAGCAAAATATTTCGGAAATAGCATAAAATTTTAGAATAAGTTTAGTTTGGTTCGAATTGGTCACCTTTGGCAGGAATTATGACCTTCAAACGACCAATAAGACCATCACACGCTGCCTGAATGTTATTTTGCGGTATTTTGGCCCATTCCCGGCGAAGCGCTTGCTTGAGGTGATCGACACTTTGGTATTTTTTAGTGCCAACCTTGCATTCCAAAGTACTCCAGACACAATATTCCAACGGATTGGTATCCGGAGATTTTGGTGGTCATTGTGCGCTGGAAATGAAGCGAGGAACCTTATTTTGTAACCATTTTTGGGTGGCTGAGTGCGATGGTGCTCAGTCCTGTTGGATGTCGAAGGTCTGCGGCCAAAATATTTGCGTGCCCCATACACCCTCCAGAATATTTTCGCGATAATATTCGACATTTATTCTGAAGCCACGGTCGATTAATACCAACGGAGAGCGACCCCCGCCATCACCATGGCCGGCGCTTAAGTTCTGGTGACCAACCGAAGGTGCACATTTTCAGCTGACCTCTTTGGCAAGTAAACACGATCATTTTGTTCTCATCGGAGAAAACCAAATTCGGCAGTTCACCACTTTCGGCCAAGCGATGCAACTCTTTACCTCATTTGAGTCTATTTACTTTCTGTTGCGGTGTAAGTTCTTGCACTTTTTGGAAATTCAATGGCTTTACCCCGAGCTCATTTTTCAATATTTGCCGAATGGAATATTGCGATATGTTCAGCTCACGAGCCATTTTGCGGCCACTGCGACGCGGGTTTCGATCAAGTCGCTTCTTTATTTTTCGAACCACTTCTGCTGATTTTGCTGTTTTCTTCCGTTTACTTCCTTGACGTCGGGCTACGCTACCAGCATCATGAAACGAGCGATGGTACGAAACACAAAAAATTTACTCACATTTAAATGCTGGAGTGCTCTAACCATAGCACACAAGTGGCTGGTTTTCCAGCCAAATATGAACGAATCACGCCATCCCGGTTTGAATTCCAATTCTGAAAAATTCTCACCAAAATGCTTTTGTACGCTTGTCACTGGAATAATTTTAACAGCTGTAGGACGAGTGGCTTAGATATGATATATGTTGATGGCAGTCTTTTCATCTCACCCAAGCGGATTTAATTGTATTCAGTTTGTAGATTAAAATCCCAAAAGAATTTTGAGTTCTTATGCCACGAACTTTTCTAGAGCCTCTATATAGCTTTAACCATACACAGGGGGGCCCAATACCTTGGGCTATATTTCGAAATATTTAATATAGAGTTTTTAAATTTTATAGAGAGCTTTGTATTACTTAAAACAAGTAAAAAAACATTAAGTTCGGCCGGGCCAAATTTTTAATACCTTCCACCTTAGGGTAAAAGAAACATTAGAAGGAATGTGGCAAAAACCATTAAAATGCCGAATATCGGGAGGTACCGTTATATGGGGGCTACACCAAAACGTGGACCTATAATTACAATGTTTCGCTACACAAACTAGGACCCATTAGGACCCACAAATACCAATTTTTAGACAAATCAGTGAAAATATGTTGCAAAAACCATCAAAATACCGAATATCGGGATGTACCGTTATATGGGGGCTATATCAAATCATGGACCCATGCATGCAATGTTTCGCCACCGAAGCTGGAACCCATTATGACCAACAAATACCAATGTGGCAAAAAATGTGGCAAAAATCATCAAATTGCCGAATATCGGGAGGTACCGTTATATGGGGGCTATACCAAAACGTGGAACTATAATTACAATGTTTCGCTACACGAACTAGGACCCATTGTGACCCACAAATACCAATTTTTAGACAAATCAGTGAAAAAATGTGGCAAAAGCCATAAAAATACCGAATATCGGGAGGTACTGTTATATGGGGGCTATACCAAAACATGGACCCTTACATGCAATATTTCGCCACCGGAGCTGGAACCCATTATGGCCAACAAATACCAATTTTCAGACAAATCCGTGAAAAAAGGTTGCAACAATCATCAAATTACCGAATATCGGGAGGTACCGTTATATGGGGGCTATACCAAAACATGGACCCTTACATGCAATGTTTCGCCACCGGAGCTGGAACCCATTATGACCCACAAATACCAATTTTTAGACAAATCCGTGAAAAAATGTGGCAAAAAAACTAAAATACCGAATATCGGGAGGTACCGTTATATGGGGGCTATACCACAACGTGGACCTATACATGCAGTGTTTTGCCACACGCTCAGGGACCCGTTATGACCTACAAATACCAATTTCCAGACAAATCCGTGAAAAAATGTGGCATAAATCATCAAAATACCGAATATCGGGAGGTACCGTTATATGGGGACTATACCAGAACGTGGACCGATATATCTCATTTTCAATACCAACCATCCTAGACACAATGCAAATTTGACGCTCTACGTCAAATAATGTGGGCTGAATCGTGATTTCAACAGACAGACAGACAGACAGACGGACATCGTTAAATCGACTTAGAATTTTATGCTGATTATGAATATATATACTTTATGGGGTCTAAGACGAATATTTAAGGATGTTACAAACGGAATGACAAAGTTAATATACCCTCCTTTCCAAGGTGGAGGGTATAAAAATCATGGGTTTAAAAAGTGAGTCATATTAGTCAACCTGTTGGTTTGTTAATTTTTTAAAGGTAGTTCGTAAAAATTTTTCGAAAAAAAAAGATGAAAAAGACCATTAACATTTTAACACCAAAATAATCTTCGTATTGCGGCCAGTAATATTGCCTTAGACACTCTATGCACAAAATGCAACGATTCCAAATAATATTTTCAAAACGCCGATACATGTAGCAATTGAAAACTGTTCAGGATTGGGTTTTACGGACTTAATATTTTTTCATGGTAGAATTAAGAAGGTAAAGTCTATGTTTGCAATTTTCCAAAATTATTCATTTGTTAAACATTTCATTGTCAAAATTTATATTTACAATTCCATTGTTTATACAAAAAAATCAGAGAGACTGTTTTCTATGAAGTGAAATTTGACAAGTTAAGTTACAAAAAAGTTAAAAGACGGGTATGATAATTTGTAATGGCTTTACCTTCTTAATTTTACCATGTTCCCCAATTTTATTAGTATGGGTACAATCGGTCTTGAAATTATTTTTTCACAATTACAAAAGTGGAAACCCACATATGAATGACTTTTTTTTCAAACTCCTCTATGTGGATTTATTTATGACACATGCCATGATAGAAGAATATAGGTAGACGCATCGACACAGCTGCTGGGACAATGAACTGTCAAACCAATTTTGGAAGATGTTAAAAATGTTGAATGAAAAATTATTTAAATTTGTAAAAATTGAAAAACGCGTATTATAATAACCTCCTAATGACGCCTTATAAGAAAACAAATAAAAATCTACCTATATTTGAAAAGACATTTAAAAATGTTTGACATATCAATGTTCCTAAGCGTTGATGCATCTACCTGTGTTTTTCTACCATGACACATGCAAAGAAGTTGGCAATTTAAATCCACAGTACTTACTATATCCGGTGAACTGTAAACGTACTACTTCTATTTCATTCAATTTAAAAAATATGTACAAACTTTTTGTAAAATAAATAATTTATTAAAAACTATGCCAACATAAATATTAATATCAAATCAAATATTTTAAGTAACTTTTAAATATTTTATTAATGTTGTAAACATGCTGAAAATTCTCTTCAACGACTTGGTATTCCAATTGCAATTCGAAAACTGACCATTACAATCTTCCCCACTTCGGGCCGCATCCACAGCTTGCTCAACAGCAGTTCCGCTTATAATGTTGCGTAGAGAATCCAAACTGTGAAACAAATCATATTTAAATAAATTCACAGGGATTTTAAAACCAAATCATACCTTAACACCCCATCCATGACTTTTTCAATATTTCCGGAAGAACTTTTCTGAACAAATTCACAAATCGACTTTTGAAAACACACACTGATGTTATTCTCATGCATTTTGGACTCAATAAATGAGAAAATATTCTGGGTGTTTGAATCTGGAGAGAATATTCAAATCATCAAAATCATTTCAAAATCAAATTTGCAATAATACTTCATACCTGTATTATCATTCTCTTGCCATAATGTAGAATTATATTCTCCGGAAGTTCGCGAGGTTTTCCGAAAAGCCGCATAGGCCGGGACAAATGGGGTAAAAAGAAATTTCAATATTATGGCAAAAATGCCACCCACAGCTATCACGGCACCGGTTGTCAATATTGAACTAACATTTAGATTGAAAAGGCTTCGTAGAGCCGATTTGGCCACAGTCATACTACGTTCGATGGGTACTCGCACAAAAGGCACTATAAATTCCAATTCAATGCTGACATCCTTATCGTCGGCATGAAATTGAAATCCTCTTGATTTACGATTGCTTGATATGGAATTGGCTAAAAGATTAGAAGTCCTCGAAGCAGCTGAGGTCATTGTGGCATAATTACGCGGTCCAAAATCCCGAAAACGTAACAAATTTGAAGAATTTGTATTCGTGGTGTAAAATGCACGGCGATTAACACTGCTCGTAAACTCATAATTGTTAAAGTTCACAAATAACACCGACGCCATGAGCAACATCTGGAGAGCGTAGTAACGCTTCTTGTAATGATGCACTGTCAACATTGCAACTGTCACTTTTTGATATGCGTACCTCACTCGACACTGGTTCCAATCGCGTTAACAAACAACCAACATCTGAGCCAGAATTGAGGCTAAAGTGCTTTTATTAAAGCTCATCTATGGTGGATGTGGTGGTGGGTGGTAATTGCCCAAAACCATTTGGAGCTACCAGAGAAATGTAAAATAAAACAGCAACAGGGGAATGACATTATTTTCACGCTTTGTTAATAAACAAATTTTGAATTTCCATTTTAACGCCATTGATGCATGCCGCCTCCACAAACATTATGACACTAAAGTGAGCAAATTTATATCATAGCATCTTGAAAAAGAAGCCAGTAGGCCTAAAATATTTCTTTACATTGTTGTAATTAGTGTTTGAAACCAAATTTTTTGCCTTTTTCATGCTTCTTATTTTATTACGTTCAGTGACCTTGAACTCTGCTAGAAATGTACAGATATTTCAAAATTGTTGTTGTTAATTGAAATTATTATTAAAACAAATTCAATTGACTACAAAAAAGCATCAGATCGGGTCTCTAGAAATAGATCCATTAAAAAATGGTAAAAATATGAGAAAATTTGCCGTCTTTACACTCGAATTTTGAGATGAGAGTGCAAAACAAAAAATAATTACAGCGGAAACCTACTGGGTTATGAAAGTATAGCTAAAAACAGAAGACACGTGTGTCGGCGTTTTTAAGATTTGCATCGCAGTGTAACCTAAACACAGGGTGGGATAAAAAAAACTGCAACCAACTTCAGACTGATGTCATTTCTTATCCGACAGCTGTAAAAATTATTCAAGTGACAGCTCATTATATTGTTTACAAGCGTACAAACGCATTTTGGTGAGAATTTTCCAGAAAAAAAGTTATTCGTGACGGAATTCAAGCTTGATAATGTGATTTATTTGTATTTGGCTGGAAAACCAGCAAGTGGCTATCGTTAGAGCACTCCAGCATTTAAATGTGAATAAATCTATTGTGTCTCGTACCATCGCTAGTTACCGTGATACTGGCAGCGTAGCTCGACGTCAAGGAAGTGGACGGAAGAAAACAGCAACATCAACAGAAATGTTTCGAAAAGTAAAGAAGCGACTTGATCGAAACCCTCGTCGCAGTGGTCAAAAAAAGGCTCGTGAGCTGAACATGTCGCAATATTCCATTCGGCAAATATTAAAAAATGAGGTAAAGCAATTCAAATAAGGGGTAAAGCTATTCAAATTCTAAAAAATGCAAGAACTTACACCGCAACAGAAAGAAAATAGACTCAAAAGAGCTAAAAAGTTACTTTGCTTGGCCGAAAGTGGTGAACTGTCGAATTTGGTTTTCTCCGATGAGAAAACATTCTTTGTCCAGCAGTTTTTAAACAAACAAAATGATCGTGTTTACTTGCCAAAGAGGTCAGCTGAAAATGTGCACCTTCGGTTGGCCACCAGAACTCAAGAACCCCCTGGCCATGGTGATGGTGTGGGCCGCCGTAACAGCCGATGGTCGCTCTCCGCTCCTATTAATCGACCGTGGCATCAGAATAAATGCCGAATATTATCGCAAACATAATCTGGAGGGTGTATTAAAGCCTTGATCACTCAAACATTTTGGCCGCAGACCTTGGACATTCCAACAGGACTCAGCACCATTGCACTCAGAACGCGCCACCCAAGAATGGTTACAAAATGAGGTTTCTCGCTTCATTTCCAGCGCACAATGGCCACCAAAATCTCCGAATACCAATCCGTTGGACTATTGTGTCTGGAGTATTTTAGAAAACAAGGTTGGCACTAAAAAATTCCAAAGTGTCGATCACCTCAAGCAAGCGCCTCGCCGGGAATGGGAAAAAATACAGCAGAGTAACATTCGGGCAGCGTGTGACGGTTTCATTGGCCGTTTGAAGGCCATAATTCGTGCCAAAGGTGACCAATTCGAACAAATCTAAACTTATTCTAAAATTTGATGCTATTTCCGACAGTTTTATTTTCATTCAATAAAATTTCAAAAAAAATGTAAAAAATATGGCGTTTGACTTGGTTGCAGTTGTTTTATCTCACCCTGTATATGGCTAAATTCCGCCAGCCCCTTCATATTTTTAGAAATTTTCGGATTCAAATTTCTTAAATTCGTGTCATAGTAGGAAAAGTACGGGGATTATTTTCTTTTTTCTTTTCTTTTTGGTCCATTTTCCAAAATATGAGTAAAAACTATATTTAAGTGGGATCATGTGAATTTATACAAAATTATCTTACCAAATACCATTTTAGAAGGATGATTTTAAACACAAAAAAGTTCTTCCAAAATTTCACTGTAAGTCACCCAAAAAGAGGAAATCTCTATTTTCTTTATATACCAAGGAGAAAGATGAAAATGTTTATAAGTGCGGTTGTAAGGTTAAGAAGATTTTCCAAAAGAATTTTAGTTTTATGAAATTCGTTGGTTTCTCTTCTATTGAGCTTAAGATCTCTTCACTTGGGTAAAAAAAGTTTTTTTTTTGCAGTAGAAGTTATTTTTAAAATAACTTCCTGGGGGGAATATGCCAGACAAAATACAAGGGAACTAATGAGGATTTGTGGCTCTTTCCGAAACCTAGGTATTCCCTGCCCATCGTTACCATCGTTCTCCACTAATAAACAAACGTTGTTTTTATAATAACAACAATAAAGGGATTGAGCCTGACAATTTTGCAACAACAATATAGCTCCCAAATTTATCTTCGTCCAATTTGCTTTTTTATTGTGCACCAAACGTATAATATTAGCCCAAATTGTATAGCATTTTGCACATACGACTGATATTAAGTATGCCAAATTTAATTAAAATCGGTTTAGATATAGCTATAGCTCCCATATAAATTGCTTATCCAATTTGTTATTTTTGTCCTCCTCGGCCGTAATATGCACTCTGTAACAACGATATTTGGGTAAATATATCAAATACAGATCAGAAATATCTTTGCTAAATTTTATCGAGATCGGTTCAGATTTGGATATAGCTCCCATATATATCTTCGTCCGATTTGTCTTTTATTGTGCACCAAACGTATACTATTAGTATTTCAAATTTGTTGAAAATCGGTTCGGATATAGCTATAGCTCCCATATAGACTGTTGATTCGATTTTTTAAATTTGTCATCCACAAGCGTAATATGCACTCCGTTAAAGCGATATTTGGGGGAAAATATCAAATACAGCTCCGAAATACCCTCGACAAATTTTATCGAGATTGGTTCAGATTTGGATATAGCCCCATATATATCTTTATCCGATTTCAAGTTAATTGAGCCCCAAATCGTTAATATAATCCCGAATTGAAAAGGCACAAATGCCTCAAAAAATTTAGTGGAAATCGATTCAGAGACGGACAGATAGAGACTTTAAATTATAGCTATAACAATAGTTGGTATGATTTAATTCCCACAAATTCCAAATAAAAACTTTTATGTGTTATGTGAAGCTCTACTAAATATATATAGTGGTGTAGGGTATCATAAAGTCGGCTCCGCCCGAATTTCTTTACTGGTATTTATTTATAATAGTGGAGAGCCTTTCTTCTCTTGACAAATTTTACCTAAAACGTAATTTTAATGTTCTTATACCCTACAACACTATGTGTTGGGGGTATTATAAGTTTGATTGGGCCAAAAATTATGTAACACCTCGAAATATTGATGTCCCATATAGGAAAGTATATATGGATCTTCCTATCTCGCCGAGTTGAGTCGATCTAGCTATGTATGTCCGTCCGTCCGTCTGTCCGTCTGTTCATGTTAATTTGTAATCACTCTACAGGTCGCAATTATGGCCCGATCTTCACGAAATTTAGAATGGAGGTGGGGCTAGGGTCAGAATAGAACCCTATTTCTTTTGGAGATGATCGCATAGTATTTAGGGGTCGAAATGGACCAAAAACTGAAAAAATGTCGGATTTTGTAGTAGCTATACAGGTCGCAATTATAGACCAATCGACGCGGAGCTTCGCATGTAGCTAGAGTTTAGGGCGGGGAAGAAGCCTACCAATTTGGGTGGTCATCGGATAAAATTTAGCGGGTAAAATAGACCATATCTTTTGTGTTGAAAAAATTCAAAATTTTTCATTAAACCGCGAATATTTTAAATCCCGGAGAAATCACAAAGCCATGACAAGGTTACTCCTGATCTTTACATTGATGTTAACATCCAACAAAACGGATATATAGCAAAATATGTGCGATATATATGTCTATCAAAGAAGATATGCTTGAAAAATCTCTTATATGTCGAGAACGGCTGAACTGATTTCGACAGTTCTCATTAATTCACAATGGCCTCTTGGCAGGAAAGAAACAACGTCTAAAAAATCGCATAAAAATATCTCTCTAAAGATGAAAATATTGATTTTGTAACATTTTTTTATATTTTTTCAATTTTGTCACATTTTTGGCATATTTTCATTTTGAATTAAACATTTGGTAATATTTCTACAGCTAACAAAACTAAGTAGTTAGGATATCAGGATATCATATACAGATCGCATTTATGGCCCGATCCTAACGAAATTTTGCATGGGGATCAGATGAGGGTCAGAATAGAAGCCTACTCTTTTTGGAGATAATCGCCATATATTTAGGGGTTGAAATGGACTGCAAAATTGTCAGCAGGTCGTAATTATTGCCCGATCCTCACGCACATTTGAATGGGGGTTACGAGCACTTCTGACAATTTCGTTAACGCTGATTTCGTTGAAGAATATAGTCAAATGTCTGTATCTCATATAGATGCGTTTCAGCCAAAAACCAATAATAAATGTTAATCTTTTGCCACTTCTGAGAGATTATAGGTCTTTGGGAAATATTGGTTCCAGATCTAGGAAGACCATCTAAGTGCAACATCTACCAATAAATTGGAAATGAGCAAATTAGTTTAAGTTGCTATTATTCGAAAATTAGAGAACGAAACCTGATGGTTTACTTTTATTATTTGTCACAATATATTGTGAATTCTTCCGAGTATCTCGCCTATATAAACTGTATCGTTTATTATAGTGTTGTAGGGTATTCAACGGTCGGCCCCGCTCGACTGTA